ATAAAAATACAAAAATTTATTGGTATTTAAGTTTTATTTAAACTTTTGAATAGTTTTAAAGCATTTTGTAAATATCGCACGATTCCTAGTTAATTTATAAAGATAAGAGATAAGAATTAAATACCTCAAATTCTTAAAACTGAACGACTCACATTTCGAATGTAATTTTCATAGAAATTTGCAGAGCTCCATCGCAGTTTCGAGACTTTTGAGCTTTTCGGACTTAACTTATTTTTTTTTGGTTTTTTTCATTCTGCGCAACAAAACCGCCATAGTTAAATATCATACCAAAATGTCGATCTTGCAGGAAATATGTGTGTGGAAAGAATTTCTGTTGACTTTATGGAGGCCTAGTAAAAGAATTACCTTATGGACTAGTAAATATTCTTAAGTCACTCCAGCAGAGTAAAAATATTTGAAGTTTTATCGTAGACGCTAAGATGAAAGCGTAATCCGGAAATGAGCGCCACTCTTTATGGTTTGGCCAGCAGTTTTCTCACTAATCACTTCATTTCAAGGTCATAGATGTTCAGAGAGCTCTACCTCAGTGCGCGTGTGAGAACTTTAAAGAGTGTTGCCCGCGGGCACTATTTTGAGCTTCAAATGTATGGACAATTTTAATACTTATGCATTTCAAAAAACACAGACATGTTTATCGATTTTTTTTATCAATATCGATATCACTTTTTTTAATCGATATTCCCATATATGTTGGTATCTACATATACCGTTTCGTTTTAGTCTCTTTTATCGATTTTTTATCAATATCGTTGTCGCTATTGTTATCGATATCGCACTATGCATATCCACGTTGCTGTCGATATTTCCTCCGTTATTAACGTCTTAGCACTTATTGACCTTGTCTATAACCTTATCTTGACTGATGTTATTATCGTTATCGATACAATTTTCGAGATAGTCTCAATGAAAATGTAAATAATTTTATCTCATTTTAATTTCTTAAAAATGCGCATTACTTTATCGATGACTTTTCAATATCATTATCACTATTGTTATCGATATATTCGTATGTATGTTGGCATCGATATTTTTATTCTCTTAAACATGTGCATTCGTTAATCAGTGTCATTATTGTTATCGATGTCATCAAATTTAATTTTTTCGATATTTCCCCCAATTTTATGGTTATCGATATCTTCCTCTTTGTCAATGTTGTTATCGTTATCGATAGATCTAACGATAAGAGCTTCGATTTATCCCAAAACAAAAGTCGAATCAGGCCCTTCAGAGGCGTTAGTGCCGCCCGCATATCAACAGATTTTCGCTTTCATTTCTGCCTTCATTGCAATTTGGTTTCTATTTTTCATATTTCTATATAGTCTTTTACAAATATAGTATATACAGTATAATACAAAAAATTATTAGCACACATTATTTATTGTATTTAAGTCGGCTAATAATAATAATAAACTAAAATAAATATTTAAGAAACTCTAGGCAGCCATTATCATAAGTTGTTACGAAATCAAAATTCATTTAATACTTAAAAATTATAAATAATTATTTTTAGAAAGCAAGCTAACATTTTCGTATTTTATAAGTAGCCGTTAAATGTATAATTGAATTGATTGTTTGATTAAAAATATAGTAAGACTGAAGAAACAATCACTGCAATGAATCTTTAAATGTAAACGATTTCGTAAAATGCATACAAGAAAAAATACAAAAATAAAAAACCAATAAAAACAAATAAACATAAAATTTATTTTTATTTTTATTTTTTCGGACCATCGTCACAGCTGACGTAAGTTTTACACTTTTCCGCCTTTCTGCGATTGCAAAATGCTCCGCTTCTCTCAATTGTTTGGCATCAATTTCACTGTTGCACACAAACGTTTATTTACTTAAAACTAAATGAAGTGGATTTGTATAGAAATTGGCAAAATAACTCACTCACACCTCATCAATGTCTGCTTGTTGTTGCATGCCACAATAGCGTGCGCTTCAATGTACGTTTGTGTGTTTATTTCTAGCAATCTAATGGAATGTCAAAATTGATTGGCCCATTTGCGCCCACTTGCAATGCGCGTGGATTGAGAGATGATCTTTTGGTGCGCCAGCGTAGGACCATACACACACACACACACACACACACACACACACACAAAGCGTTCGAGCGCTTACTTTTAGGTGTTTGGCCGAACTTCTCCTTCGATTTTTGGTATGCGACTTGTTGTTGTGATACAAATGGAGGAAGGCAGACGGCAGATGAGCTTTTATAAGGTTTGCATGACCGCATTTTAAAAAGCTATCTTGGATATTAATCCAAGTGGGAATCGAACTTGGGCTCCACGAGATATAGTATCTGTAACCGTTCCGTCACCGTGATCGCCGCGCGAAACATGCGACTAGTCCGGAATCTATTGCAAAGGAAAATGCAACTGAAAGCACTCTTGATCCGTTTATGGGGTATGAAGTGTTCCCATTTCGTTCGAGCATGCCCAACACTGGGAGTCGAACCATTAAAGGCAAACATAAAAGTTAAGTCGATGTCTAACTAATTTCCAATTTTCCCCTAATGAATTGCAAGAGGACTTAAGAATAGCCCAAATGCATCCCATGGAGACTAATTTGCGTCTACAATATGCAGACGATCTGTGGTTCACTTCAGAGTGGATTTCAAATAAATTCACTTGGAATCCGATATTCGCTGTTCTGTGATAACTTGCTGCGTGTCGATTGAAATTTTTTCGGAAAATTATTCCGAATGTATTCTAGAAGGCTGGACACGGTTCAACAGGTAATGGAATGTGAAGTTGCTTGCCTTGGCCCGTAGCGCTTGCTGATATGTCCGTTGCTGCCTGGCAGTGGTGGTTAACAATTCGACAGAGTCGATAAATTGGAGGCCGTAGAGACAGAGAGTGCCATTTGGCGTGAGCAATATAGACCACATAACTTTTGGTTAACTCCTTTAGGTGGCCTCCTTCTTTGCAAGAGTAGCGTCTAATTGAAGTGAAGTTCGGATGGGATCATCTCTGGCATACGCAGGAATCATAGTTGCAAGGCGTTGCGCCAGGGATTAAACAAATTTTTAGGACTCGCCGATGTTGACAGAATTTATCGCCGGAACAACAAGCTGATTTATTACGGGTAAGTAAAATAGGATAGGAATGTTATCTAGTCTTCTACGAAGTTTTTTTGATGGCCTGGCATCAAAGTCAAAGCCCAGAAATTGCTTGGATTTTCTGAATATATCTCGACAACAGCAATATCTACGAGCTAGCGAGACGGACCACTCTCGTCCATGAAATAATTTGGTACCTAGCGCTGCTTTGTTAAATATCTAAAACCCGGGAAAAGATTAAATTTTTTGTGATCTTTATTTACATAAATCGTTTTCGCGGAATAGAAACTCAATACTTTAAGTGTAACTAAATATGTACATATGCATGTATATATTCGACACGGTTTCAAAATTGAAATTCAACGGAAAATGTGCATGAAAAAGAAAGGCATACATATGTATGTATATTAGAAAGTAAATTTTGAATTTTTTTTGACGCCATCCCAGCTCTTCCTTGGCCTTAACCCGCCGAAGTTTCTGCGCCACTTGAAAAATCAAAATCGCTTTCATTGCCTACAGCGCCTGCAGCTGGCAACTTAGCAGCACTCGAGCTGTCATCCGTTTCGCTGCTATCCACAAAATTTACGCGTTTCTTCTTCTTTTGCGCCTCATTCTGTGCGGCAAGCTTATCCGCTGTCGAAAGAATCGATGTAGGTTTCAAGACTTTAGGCTCGCTGGTCGTTGGAGGTGCAACTGGTTCAGTTACTACTGGTTCAGGCGTCGGCTCTAATTGCAGTTCTGGCGGCGGCACATTCGCTACTTCGGCGGTAGTTAGGGTAGCACTAGCGCTGCCATCATCCGCTGCAGTTGGTGCCGCAGCGGCGTAGGCATTGTCTTCATACGCATAACTAACTTCCTGACCCTGGCCACCCTGATATTCCTGCGATGCGTAAACGCCTTCAGCAGTACTTCCTTCGGGCGCCACATATTGCGGATCGACGACATATTGACCAGTGGCTTCATCATATATGTAGCCCGGATATGCGTTGGGATCATAGTTGCCATACTGCGTTGCATCATAATTTTCATAATCTTGTTGCGTGTACTCCTGTTGTTGTTGCTGCTGCTCTTGAAGCTGTTGGTTAGCGTCGCCGCGCGCGGCATTCAAATCGGCTGTTTGGTTTGTTGGATACTCAGCGTAAGCATTTGTTGCTTCTGCACCATCGTAAGCCCGTTCTGCTGCCGCCGCTTGCTGGTAGTATTCAGAGTTTGCTGTGTCGTATGTGGCTTGATTTTGGGGTTCATTTTGATAACTTTCAGCGGCTGCTTTTACTTCGGCAGCCTCTGTGCCGTCAATTGATGTACTATAATTGGCATATCCCATATTATCTGCATTTGCTGGAAGGTTTTGAGTTTCTATTGCATCTTTGGTAGTGGTGTTTTCATGCTGATTTCCACTGATTTCGTCAGAATTGGCCGGTTCTTGCTGGCCAAGTAGTTCGGTGAAGAAACCGTGCGCGGCAGTTCGCACAGTCGGCGGTGTAGAGTCGTCCAATTGTGGGTTTACCAACTCGCCGTAAATAGCATTTTCTATGTTATCAATGGAGACAGGCTTTTGCTCAGCCGATGTGCTAGACGTTGATGGCTTCGGTGTATATTCCACTGAGCCCGAGTGTGATTGCCATGAATTATTATCTGAAACTTCGACAACTGGTGGCTGCTGCTCTCTGGCGTTGGTTTCTTTAATAATCTCGGAGAAGGGTTTATATTCCTGCAAAGGAATCTCGTCCTCCATGTCATTGTTTTCATCTGCAATACTATACTTTTTCTCAATTTCCGCAAACTTTC